GTTCTCGCCTCATGTCTTTCCAAGTAGGGTACTCACCACGAGACTCTTTGTGATCTTCCAATCTTATCCAAAATTGAAGAGCCTGACCTTTGAGGTGAGATTTAGCGATGCTAACCTGGTGGGACTCGGGGATATGTCGTGTTTCAAAATAGTCCTCTAATCGTTTAACCCATTCCTTAAAGTAGTAAGGGTCCAAAGAACCATCAAAGGTAGGCAGACGATAAGGTGACTCTAAGTGAGGTTGAGGAGGCCTAGGCTCAGGTCTCGGGCGATAAGCTGAGTGGGGCATGTAATTAGAGTGGGGATAGTCAACGGGTTTCTCCATCATAATTCTAGTCATATTGCCCACTAGGTCCATTGGGAAGCGTCAAGTGACACTCAAGGATGATTGGGTGTAAGGGACGCCATTTAGACAATAAGTTAGGCTCACTTAGACTCACTACAAGGTGCAGAAAATTTTCGGACAGCAAGCTACACTAGTGGGTTAAGTAACCTAGGCACTTAGGAAGGTTGTTAGGTTGAGGACAGCACCTAATACACTTACGAAACTAGCCTACAGTTCACTAGATGCATGCAGGAATGATGTGGACAGCCAACTACACAATGGTCTGGGTCGTCTAGATGTTATAGGGATACCACTAGGGTGAGGACAGCACCTAGACACGACTTTAAGCTCACTAAATGGTGTATAAAAGTTGCTGGAACAGTGAGGACAGCAGCTTAAACTTAAAGGTGTAGTTGCTCTAGTCAATTAGAAACAAGGTAGGTTTAATGGCAGCACTCTTACACTACCTAAAACGTCTTAAACCTTAATGAATGCATGCAGGAATTATGACTACAGCAGTGAAAACAGTGAAAATGTTCTATCTACGCATTGATATGCATGCAAGTTGCAAACTACAATGAGAAGCTAGACCCTAGGATGCGTCTAGCACAAGTCAAGCATGCTAGCCATGCTCTGATACCAAGATGATATGAAACGTACATGCATGGATGAATTGCTTTAAGGAATTTGCACACGCAATATTCCTGGAACAAAGAATTATATCTTAATGTTGAATTTAATGACACAATAAAACACTAAGAGCGGTAAGACGAGCTTAGGACGAATCATGTGCATAAAAGTTAAAATCAGAAAACAGTCAATTTAATCTAACGTTGCATACATGGATGGTTTCAACAATAAATCCCTATGCTAACAGTAAGATTAGTCACTACAAGAGATCCCTCACTCAACTCTTCTAATTACTAGGCTTTAGCGGGGAAGCATTAATGTGATCGTCATGAATCTATTAAGACCACAGTTGATAAACAACATCGAAGATAAAAGAGTCGGGTGAAGAGTTTACCTAAAGACAAGAGAGATGTGAGCTCCGGGTAAGTCGTTGGAAGGTTGAAATGAAAAGGGGCAGCAGTTCGGTTGGAAAGACAGCATCAGAGAGGTTCAGGATCCTCTGGACAGCAATCTTGGCACGTTGGAAAGTTCTGGATAGTCACCCCGCAGTTTCCAGAAAATCTGGACAGCAAATAGAGGCCTTCCGGATGGCGACACAGCATTAGGAACCTGCTGGAACCTTTGGGCAGCAGCTGTGGGGCTTCAGGACAGCCAACCGGAGGTTCTAGGAGAGCAAGACAGCAGCTCGTCTAGCCGAAATTTTCAGGACAGCAAACAGGAGTATCCGGACAGCAGGACAGCCCCTGATCTTTGCAAAAACTCCATGGACAGCAGTTGTAGGATGCTGGAAATCTTCTGGACAGCAAATTGTAATCTCCAAAAGTGCAAGACAACAAGTGCTTGATTGAGAGGGGATTAGGTTAGATGAAAAGGAGAGGAGAGAAAGTTAATAAATCTGAAATTAATTCAGATTTAAGTGAATTTGGAGGGAATTGAATTTGAAAATTTGAATTCAAATCCAATTAAGTTCATGAATGATACCCATTAATGGGGCCGGCGGTTTCAAGAGAGAGAGGGAGGGATTTGGGGAGGGGATTTGTAACTTCCAAATCAATTTATGTCATTTAGGAAAGAGAATGACTACTCAAATCTAATTTGAAATTCAAATAAGCTTGGAGTTATGCACTTTCCTAATTTAGATTTGCAATTAAGGAATTTTTTTTTTGTTTTTTTGAAATTTGAATTTCAAATTTTGAATTGAGAAAAGGGACTAATAAATCCAATTTGATTTATTTTGAAATTGAGTTCATGAATGATACTTTCCAAATTTAGGATTCCATATATGGAAAGAATTTGAAATTCGAATTTGAATTTCAAATGAATTCAAATTTTCCCTCTCATGCTTGAGCTAAATTAGGAAGTCATTATGGTGATTGAAATCATCATAATGATGGGAAATTATGATGGTGGCCGGCGGCAAAGGGGGAAGGGGGCGGTTAGATGGCGGGTTGAGGCTAGGTAGGTGGGTGGGATTATGGTGATGGAGCTAGAAGATAAGTTGGGTGGATGAGGTTGAGCCACCGGTGGTGGGGAAGTTGGAAGGGATGGTGGAGTGAGTGGGGGAGAAAGGAGATGACAACAAAATACAAATAAGGTAAAAGTAAGCTAACGAACTCACAAAGAGATCGTAAAACCGTGAACCTTGGACTCTTCCAAAGGTTGACGGGTATTGCGATTGCCCACACCTTGGGTCTCTCCTCCCATGAACTCACTTAGAGATCAAGCAAAGAAAAATAAGATTTCATTTCAATATTCCTCATCCCCTCTCCAAGAGGAGGAAGGCTTAAATAGCCAAATACATGAAGGAAAATAAAAGACACAATTGCCCCTAGGGCAAACATAAGACAGCCCTCAAGTGAGGGTAGAAAGGGACAAGTACAAATAAAAAATAAAATACATCAAACTAAATAGACACGATCGTAGCTGTTGATCTTTGATGTCCTCATCAAATACTCGCTAGTGCTTTTATATATTATTATTTAATTTATTGCATTACTGCATTTCCACTATTACATTCCCTAAACCCTTCTCAGCCGTGGGATTTAATCAAGTCAATGCATGTTTAGTTAAGTGAATAAGCTACAGTAATTAGAATAAAATAATAAAATGAAATGACTGTTAATAGTTAATTAACTTAGTTTTACTTAACTGATTTTGAGACATAAAAAGTTCTTCATTAACTATTTATACTTATACCATTAAATTAATATTTTACATATACTTTTATATGTCAAAATGCTCGGAATTAAAAGTAGAATTTAATGAAAATAAATAAATATTTAGAGGAAGTTTATGCTTACATTATTTTGAACATTTTGGGTATCATACAAAGAGGGTGTTAAAGCTGCAATGGAGTATGGTTGTGGACTGAAGGAGCTATTGAGGCTTACTTAGGTTTGATTTGGCTAGACTAGGACATTTGAATGCCCGATAGACTCGGTTAGCTTGCGCGCGCGCGCGCGCACACACACACATATATATATATATATGAGGCTGCTGTTGCATGCCCGGTGATTGCTCTGATTATAGTCAATGCATTGTACTTGGTTCACTTGTTGATTAATAAGAATTTGAAAGTAAAATTGAGACTAAAGGCTTCAGTTGGTAATTTGCCGTCTTTTTTGGCAGCCAGCCATATCCCTGCAAATAGATCCTGTATTTACTGTTCATGGATTCATGAGCATGGATTATGCACTTGTGCAGTAGGTTGTGCTCTGCTGATATGCTAGCTTAGTTTTTTGATGCATTTGCTATCTACCTTTTTTTTTCTTGAAAGCAAAGATGCTCTTCTTCTACGTATGGTATTTTTTTTTAAAGGTTGCAAGCATCAATTAAAAGTCAGACACAAAACTAATTACAAATAAATAGGCATGAGATCCATTACAAATAAGATTGGAACGAGGCACCAAATTTTATGTAGGAGCTAATGAATATTTAATTTAAAAATGTCACGACCCACACTCAAACTTAAGACCTCTACAAGAACTAAGGAGCACACTGCTTGAGCTTCTTTTGGTTTGTGTTTGATAGGATGAGTACTGGTAAATGCTTAAATTGAAGCTTAATTTGACAGGTGCAACTAAACATTTCTACTGAATCATCATCTTATTCATCCTTATCCTATTTTCATTTATGTAGGCTTTGTAATATTAGGCTTTGTAATATCCTTCTTATTAATATTTTATTTCTAGTTTTGTGAGCTTAGTTAGCTTTATCTATTTTGGACAAAGCATATTAGTTTAACCTGAACTGTTGAGGGGAAGTGGAGAGTAGTTTTTTTCAGTATAGTCATTGTTCTCTGCCTCATAAGAACCACTTAAGGCTGTTCGTATCTTTCCTTATAAGAACTTAAATAGAAGATTGTAGAAGGTTTGCCACGAAATACTATGGGTCTTGAATATGCTATTCGGCATAAGTATTTAGTAGATCTGTAAACCTACTTTGAATTGTCAAATGCACTGGTGAGAGATTTTTAAATAAATAAATTTTGTTTCTTGCAGCATGCTATATGTCAAGCATGTTAAAGCTTAAGCAAAAGAGTCTAGGAAGCTTCGAGAAAATGTAACTTTAAATGATGTGCACTATGCATGCTAACGGTATCCTGTCATGAGAGTTTAGGGATTTGACATGCTGGTATTCTATATTTTTGACTAAACCCAGTGACCGGGAAATACTACTTTTGGCATTTGAAAATTTAAAGCATCATACCGTTACTTGTGGCTTCCACATTATATGAGTTCCAAACATAAAGTTATTAGCTGTTTTTTTTTTCTTTGGTCTCATGATTTGTGTGGACCAGGGAAAATCATCCTCAAATTATATTAGCAAGAAACAGGTAATTTTTATTACTCATTTATTTTCTTAAATTCAGAATTGCATGGTTTTCTTAGAAAATTATATATTTTCTAGAATTGCAAGGACCTGTTGTTTAGCTTTCAAATTTGTGTCTATGAATTTCTTATACAGATTTCCCTGTAGAACAGGAAGATAGTTATTCTCCCTAAAACATTTATAAATATATTGTATATGTTTACTTGGAAACCAGGGTAATGTGAGTCAGGTTCCATCTCCTGATATAGTTGGGCACACTCAGACACCAAAGCACAAGAACAACACCCATCCAAGTCCCAGCTTCGTCGAAAATTTCCCGGAGCGACCCGATCAACCCGAATGCCAGTATTACTTGAAAACTGGAAGCTGTAAATATGGTTCAACTTGCAAATACCATCACCCGAGAGAGAGATTCTCATCAGCTACCAACACTCTTGGACCCTTTGGCCTCCCTATGAGACCTGTAATGTGTATTTTATTTTATTTTCTATTAGTGTACCTTTATTCAGTTTCTCACTGAATTTACCCGAATGATGCAGGGCCATGCGGTTTGCTCATTCTACAGCATGTATGGAACCTGCAGCTATGGCTCAGCTTGCAGATTTGATCATCCCTGGATAAGCTATTATAACTACTCATTACCAGAAATGTCTATACCGGATCATTTTCCTTTATTTCCTAACCAGAGGAACCCGCAAGCGACATTAACGTCGTTGGAAGCTCCTAAAATCATGAAATCTGAGGCGAGGGACGAAGCTCCTCCTCCTGATAATGATGAGTATAGGGACCCTCAATCAAATTCTGCAATTTCTTCTGAGTCTCTACTGAATCAATCTGATTAAGGTTTCCCCCACCCTTTTTTCATCCACTGAGGGTTTTCATTTCATAAGCTGGGGAGTTTTTGGGTCTGCCTCCAATTTCCCCTCTGTTTGCAGCTGCTGGAATTGCATTTACTGCTGTTGACGGCCAAAGAACTTGATATTTAAACTGTTGAGTTGTTGTTCGCTGTTCCCAATTTTTATATAATTTTCTGTGAAAATAATGTTTTGAAGGGTTTTTTTTTTTTTTTTTTTTTGACATGGAAATAAGAATCTGCTACGTCAGTGTGTTCAGTGACTTTGTACTGATGCGATATGTGGTTCAGATTGAATCCTTTTTTTTTTTGATGGGGTAATTTTATTTGGTGCTCAGTTTTGCTGTAGTCTTTCATTTCTGCGTTTGAGACTATCTAAAGAAAATGGCTTATTAGCTGTAGTAGCCTTTCTTACTGCTTCTTAATGTTTTTTCTTAATACAAAAATTTTAAGTTTTATACTAGAAAGAAGTTTTAAGAAGCAGTAAAAAAATCATTCCAAATGAAGCTTTAGAAGTCGAAAACTTGTCTTCTGCCTTCAATTTTGTCTGCACAGCTTCGTTTAAGTTTCTGATTACCACTCGTTGAAGAGTTTTGGTTCGCTAAACAAAATGCTGTATAAAATGAATTCCTATAGGCTAATTAACACCACTGAAAAATAGGTATCAGATAAGATGCTATTTAGAGATATCACCCATATTTTAGGAGGATTTATGGCTGATTTCAAGTTTCATATGGGTGTAAAGACCTATGATTATTTATCCTTTTTTTTCCAATGAGAGAATATTTTTTGTAAAACTAATCAGTAAATATGCATCAAATATTGAATATCTAGTAAGGATAAATTTGGTGTTTAGGGTTTTAAATTTGTAGTTCTGTACTTAAAGAGGACGAGGGGAATGATGATGAACTTGATCATGATCATATGGTTCCATCATTTTAAGTTATTAGTCTTCTTAGTCATAGGAAGTAGTGGACCAACTTGACCGAAGGATTTTTATCAAAATTTATGAGTTATTTCGTCTAAAGGTACCTTGAAAAATTAGGGTTAATATTGTGTAAAGGATGAATTCAAGTTGATTGACTAATAACGGTCTACTCAATGTTTTTGAAGCTATTGGGGAACTTGTTGTTCTAGTTATAAACATAATTTAATATTGTCATTTCATGACAAACTATCTTATCAGAGTCTAGTCATAATCGTTTTCATGTGATGTCATTTGATAGCAAAATTATTGGTTAGATGATACATGTCATATCTTTATTGATGATAGATGAATTTATCATCTCTTAAAATAAGATTACAAGGGTAGATGGATTTTACTTAAATTTTTAAGGTGATAGATTTTCATTTGAAATATTTCTACTTTTTATAATTTTGTAAGATTTTTATAACTTTATTTGGATATGGCTCAAAATATTTTACATAGAAATTTGAGTGTTTTTTATATAAAAAAGCTTCCTAATTAAGATTTACTTTCAACACAATCATCATCACGATATTTGAATATTTATATTTTGTTATTTTCAAACTTATGGCTCTACTGACTTGTTTGTAGATGATTCGATTCGATCAGAGTTAATTTCATTTTTTTTGTTTGCACAACATTCTCAAATGTCAAGTTCAAACGTTTGCTGCACTTATCGGAGCACATGTAGATGAATTGGACATTCTAAAGACTTGAACATAATTTAAATGCCGTGCATTTTTTTAATGCATTTGCCCTAAAATCTAATGGAAGCATTATAATCAAAACCTAATTGTCTCAACTACAATGCAAAACATATGCAAGCCAACTAAATAATCCAAAATAACTTAAATAATAAAATGGAAATTAACTTTCATTTCCAAAGAATCTAGTCCAAGTTCATTCCACACATCAAGAAAGAATTAGATTACAAAACCACCTTAATACAATGCTCTTGACAGTCATGCCTTTATCAAGCTCTACTCCAGTGTACCCTTCTCTTTTCCTAAAATTTTATAAACAATACCCATATTTACAATGTATAAATAAAAGATTTAAATGCTCATTAACAAAAAATAAATTTTCTTATAGAAAATATAAATAGAAGGATTACTTATGCCCTCATCTCCACCTTCCAAATGGCTTCTTGTTCAGACCTATTCTTCCATGGGATCTTGGTGATATAGATTTTTTTTTATTTCTTAATTGTTTCTCATCATATGCTTGGATACACTTAAATTCCTCCCTATAGGTCAAGTTCGGTTGTACTTCAATTTCACTTTTAGGGATTCATTGATCCAGATTAGAAACTGATTTTCTTAGTATAGTTAAATGAAAAATATTATGAGTATTGATATATCATCAAAAAATTATCTTGATCGGGTACGAATCTCGAGACAAAATCAAGCTAGAAACTTCAAAAATTAATTCGGAGATCATCTCAACTATGATTTCAGCAAACTTATAGTCGAATTGAACGTCTCGAGAATATGAACCCAACGACACCAAATCCAACCCAATCCGAGCCCAAATGGGTCCAAATCAAGGGTTAGAAGCGTTGTTAGATGGTTTGAACCACAATTTGGAGTACCAAACGATTTTCAAACATAATGTACTTATAGTTGAATTGAGCGGCTCGTCGAGATGAATCCAATGAGCCCATGATCACCAAATTCTGACATCACTAAGACATTCAAATGTCCATCAAATGGTCCTTGATCAAGGGATTCAACATTGACCGTCCATCTAACCACTCCCCATTTACCCTTAATCTCTCACCTATTTACGGGCCTTGCCACTAAAAAAATCTATAAATAGACCCCTCCTTTCTCTTGAAAGGGGAACCCGAAGTCAAAGGGTTCAAGAGAGATATCAGAGATCACTCTTGCCTCCTTGCTCCTCCTTGACCACCACCTGAGTTCCGCCGGACCACCATCTGACGTCATTGCTCCGTCGGACCACCACTTGAGGCCCTCACCTCTGACAGACCACCACTTGAGGCCTTGATCCCTGAAGGACCACCACTTGAGGCCCTCACCTCCGCTGGACCACCACTTGAGGCCTTGAGCTCCGCCGGACCTCTACTTGAGGCCCTGACCTCCGCTGGACCACCACTTGAGGCCCTGAGAACCGTTGGACCACCACTTGATGCCCTCATCTCAGCTGGAACATCACTTAAGTCCCTGAGCTTTGCCGGACCACCACCTGAGGCCCTCACTTCTGCCTGATCACCACCTGGGGCCCGGAGTTTTGCCAGACCACCACCTAAGGCCTAAAGTTCTACCAAACCACCACTTGAGGCCCAGAGTTCTATTGTACCTCCACTTGACACCTGAAGCAAACCCAGAGTTCTACCAGACCATCACTTGATGCCTGGAGTTTTGCCGGACCACCACCTGACACTGAAGTTCTACTAAACCAACGCCAAGCTACCAATTAACGCTCGAATTTTCAAGTAGCACTGGACTTCCACCAGTCCACCAAGTGATGCTGTAATTTTATCCTCATTTTTCACTAGATTTCAACCAAACGGTTGACATTTGTAATCTAATCTTCCTTAGGGACGAGTCAGCTCATTATAATTTACCTAAACACTAGTGGAATCATTTCAGACTAAGCCAGACCCCATGGTTTTTCCCCTTTCCAAGGTTTTCCACGTAAAAATATATTGTGTTCTCTATATGTGAGCTGGATATTCATACAACGCTAAGATGTAGAATTTTAACTCTATCATCACGTATATTCTAGCCTGCAACAAGTATATTGCATCTAATCCAATAACAACAAGTTATTTGCAAACTTTCCAATTTTTTAATAACTTCAAAGGACCAATTAACCTTGGGCTTAACTTACTATAACCTTCAAATTTGTTTTTTTAGAATATCCTACTTGAAATTCCATAACTCTACTATTCAAATCATAATATTTCTTTTTCCTGTCCTGAGCAGCTTCTAATATTTTCCTAGTCAACCTAATTTTCTCTATAGCACCATCTACTAACTAGAACCCATTAACTTTCTTACTCCCATTTCAAACAAGGACAAAAATGCTTTTCACATTCTTTCATACAAAACTTGATATGGAGCAATTCTAATACTTAATTGCTTGGAAATTACTGTTATATACAAATTCAATCAAAGAAATATGATTCTTCTAGCTCCCTCCAAATTCCAATGCGCATAAACTTAACAGATCTTCCAAAATTTGAATGACCCTCTCAAACTAGTCATATGTCTGGAGATAAAAGGCCATAACAAAATTAATTTTATTTTCAAAACTTCTTGAACGCCCTTCTGTATTCTAGAATTAAATCTATCATTTTTATTAGAAATAGTAACCTTCGGGACTACATACAATCTAACTATCAATGCCTCCATATTTTTTATGTAAATATAATTGGCACCAACTTCAGATCATGAGTAGGATAGTTCTTTTCATTCAACTTTTACTATCTAGAAGCATAAACACTATCTTCACATTCTGTTGTAGTATATAATCTAAGCCTTTCAAAGAAGCATCACTTTATACTTGAACTCCTTCAGTACCTGGCGGGATAGTCAATATAAGGATTGGCATCATACACTCATTCAATTTCTAGAAACTAGTATCTAATCAAACGATATGACCACATGAGTCAATCTTGTCGAAGGAATAAAAAATTGCAAAAAACTTCTAACAAACTTCGTATAATAACCAGTCGTGATATAAAAACTATAGACCTAAGTTATTGATGTCGTCCTTGGCCAATGCTTGCTTGCACTTTATAAGAAGCTAAAGAGGTTCCTTATTTTCTTACAATAGGTCCTAGGAATGCCACAAACTTCAATAAGAATCCACATTTAGAGAATTTAGCATATAACTTGTATTACCTTAAGGTCTTCAAAGTTAATCCCAAGTTCCTCACATGATCATATTCCATATTTGAATACACTAGAATATCATTAATGAATACAAAAAAGAACTAATCCAAATACTCTATGAACTCTCTGCTTATTATATCCATAAATATTGTTGGTGCATTTATCACTCCAAATGACATTACTAGAAATTCATGCTACTCATATCTGATGCTAAATGATGTCTTCGTCACATCCTCAACTTTCACTCTTAATTGATGGTAGCCCAATCTCAGATTAATTTTAGAGAATATAATTACACATTCTAACTAGTCAAATAAATAATCAATCTTGGGCAGTAGATATTTATTCCTCACATTTATCTTTTTAGTTTTTATAATATATATACATCCTCAAAGATTTATCTTTCCTCTTCACAAATAATATTGGAGCTCCCTACGGAGATTCACTTGGCCTGAAAAAACCTCTATCTAACAGCTCCTACAA